CATCTCTCTTCTTCTCACAGGTAAGAAACATGTGTCGAAACATTTAATTCCATTTTTCATTATAACGTTACTGAAGAGCTTTATAGGCAAGTGTTTTCATATGGATGACTGGATTATTTGTTAATGTATTGTTTGTCTCTATAATCCTCGTTTAAATCAGGAAAAAACACATGAAGACAGAACAGTGAAAAAATGAATCTTGCGAAGCTTTTGAGATCAGGGGCCGTATAAGTATAACAACTAAGTACAGATTACTAATTGAATCTAAGTAAGATAAACTATTGGGTTTTACAGTGAGGACCCCCAGAGAGTGACCCATGCACTATTTAGTGGAAAAACACCAACTCAATTCAGTTAAGACATGCAAAAGTTAAAGAAATTGGAAGAATAACCCAGGAAGAATTCATCCATGATTGGCAGATCAAAGTAGCAACAGTTTAGCAACATTGTGCTATTCCACAGTCATGCCAATAAAGCTCAGTTGAATTTAATTTAATTTAATTGAAGAGAGAGAGATTTGAGATTTCAAGCCACTTTTATTACAATATACAACAGCATATTGTATTATATACATTACTAACTCTGTTAAATCCAGAATCGTAATAGATTTTACTTATTATAAAAAAGAATTAAAATCTATTAAGATTCTAGATTTAACAGAGCTAGTTAACACTGCCTTTAAATCATTGCAAACCCTGTGATCCTTTCTTTCTTTTCTTGTAGTATAAATTGCCATTTCTGCATGTCCCAATACAAAATTAAACAACTGACACTGATACTTACGACTCTGTGAATATTTAAAATCACAAATAAACACCTTCATTGAAAAACACTCATTAAAGCAATTAAAAATAATATTTAAAACAATAAATAAGGGTGAGTCTTGAACACTGCATAAATGCTTGGAAAACAGTTTTCTTTTCTGAACAAAAAGAACAGTTTTGATCCATATTCAGGTTAATAACAGAAACAAAAGTGTTCACTGCAATAACAACATCTCCAATTCTCTTAGATAATGGTGACTTATACAATACTCTCCACTCAGGTTTTTCACTCTCTTTCAAATGAAGCATACCACGCCAAGGAGGATCAATTTTTTAATCCAAGGTCTTCTTATTAAAGATTTTAACACAGATTTTGTAACAGACCTTTCCAGAAGTAACATCTGAACTCATCACAATCAAATTGTTAACCTCTAAGAAACAGCCTCCACAATTGTCCATTATGGGAGTTAAATATAACTCGAATCAGTACCATCTGGATTAATAAACCCCAGTGAGTAATCCAATAACAATTTCAGTTATTTTTCAGACAAAGCGGTCCTCCACTCGTCAAGTGTTCTGGCGACCAAACGAGTAGATCTCTTCCACAGCTTCTCAGTCACTGAACTCACATCTATAAAGTTAGCTCCAGAGTTGAGAAGATTATCTTCCGTCACAAAATAACTCAGTTCACTGGACAAGGCCAAACGTGAGTCAAATATTAACGGCTCGTGCAACAGCCAGAACAAAGTGTTCACAGTCCTCTTCTCTGGAATCTTGAACAAGGCACACACTTTAAAAAGATTTGATAAAAAAACAAGAAACTTGGAGAGTTTCAGCTTCTGAGGATCACAGTGAGGCTCTATCCAATCCTAGTCCTTCAACCCCTCTCAGTGTAGAGAAAGCTGCTTTCTTCCAGTTTGGGTTCTCTGAGCTTGTTAAAAGTCTTTGTATGAACTGAATGTTTGTAGATGCACCAGTCCAAGTCCTCCTTCTTTAGGAAGGTTCAATACACTTTTTGGTACCCAGTGCAGCTTGTCCCAAAAAAAGTCCACTAAACATGACTGAATCTTTGATCAAAGATCTGCTGGGGGATCTATGCAACTTTTGCCTGGCATTTATACAAGTTTAATCTATAAACATTAGCCAAGAGAGCAAATAACTTGGTCAGAGGGAGGACCAGATTGATTTTGGTGCTCATGAAAAAATATTAAACATAGAAATAGTAATTACTATTTATAAATATTACTTCAAAATCAAAATGTACAGGTTTAAATCTTGAGTTGTAACTTGATTTAATCCACTATTTTGCTTAATTTTTTTCTTTACAATAATTACAATTACGACAATAAGCAACAGCGAACACACTCCACACACACACAGAATCAGTGGCAGTAAATAAGAAGGTGCTCTGTTACTGCACTCAGCATCAGTCCTATCTGTTCCTTCCTTGATTGTTATTTTGTCAAGAAATGCACAGCTGTTAGAGAGAGATACAGTACTCAAGATGAACGACAAATACATCTCTTGTGAGAAAAACATCTACTGAAGCAAATTAAAAAACAACAAATTTAATTTAAGAAGGTGTCAGTTTTAAAATATTAATACTTACTTTGTATGCAATTTGCAGAATGTACCATCTGAATATGAACCAGCAGGACAGTCATCACACACTGTATCTCTGAACTCTGTTCCTATACAAATGCAATTAAAAAACAGCATCAGTACATGAGCAATAACGACAGTGACAGGTCTCACAGATAATGACATCATTATTCAGTATAGCATCTGACACACTAAATCAATCTTCACATAACTAACTAATAATCAGCCGAATCATAATTTAGTAGATTTTTCAGGTGGTTTTAAGAGACACAAGCAAGCAATGTCTATCATGAGGAACCACTTAATACTTTCCCCAGGTGCAATAAACTGTAAAGCTGCTTTGGAACAACATGCGTATTTCCATAATTGAGTGTTTTAATATAAATGCAAGCGGAGTTATTATTCTCATATATATTAAAGCTGCTCGACTGATAAAAGACTGACCGGTTTGGTTGATGTATTGTCCAGGTGAGCAGGATGAATGTTTCATAGCCCTTTTACAGTTGGAGAGCAAGTCTATACAGTAATAACCTGGCAGAGGTCCACACACTGTGTCTGATATTAATGTACATATCTGCTTTACTCTCAGCCCATCACCTTTGACAAGAAAGCAAGCAAATCAATTGTACAGTTAATTGTAGAGAACCTGGCAATGACAAGTCAGCTAGCCTGGCCTGTCCTAGTTGTTTCTATACATTATTTTTATACCAGATGAAGGGAATGTACCACAAGTGTAATTTCTGTTCAAACACAGAAGATTATTTTATGAGCATATAGCATAACAGTTGTTCATCAGTAATAATGAATGATACAGTTTAAAGCCTATAATGAAAAAGTATCATATATGACTCCTTTAAGTATCTTACCTTGATGACACATTGGGCAACACTTTCCATTAATTTCATATTCTGCATTATTGCATGCTGCCACACAAAGCACAATCCTCACGAAGAGGAGAGGAAGCAATTGTGATAGATTATAGAATATACACATATCTGGGAACTAAATAAATCATCTGCAGAGGTGGTCATTTTCATGGAGCTGAAAAAGAGATTTGTGTTAGATGGCTTTCAGAAAAATAGACAGAAATCAATTGTGCCAGACACTTTTATTTTTTATATTTACTAAAATGCATGGGCCTCAAAACTAAACACCAATTATGCATTGACTCATTATTTTATACATTAATGCACAGCAGGTGGCATGCCAACTCCTTAAGACAAGGGGAATGACAATTTACAAAATGCATATATTTCATATTATACAACATATATTTAGGAAAGAAAGTTAAAGCATTTATTTTTTAATTAACATTTGAAGATGCTGTATAACTCCATTCACTACATCTTATCAAAAGACAAAACTGCTCTAAATATAGTTCAATTATAATATAGTTCATTATAAGTGAGAGGAGTACAAAGGAAATGTATGATATAAATACCAGATGAATCATACAGCAATCTCACATGGGCTTGCAGGTAAAGCTCCCATATCTGTACCAAACAGAAACGTGGGTGAGTGAAGTACTGTGAAGGTTTAAATCACAAATAACTATACAAACATAAAATGTTCAACATTTACACTTCATGGTGCATAATGTTTATCTATGCTTTAGCCAATCAGAATACTGAAACTTGAAGTAATGACATAGCTTACTGATTTCTGTTAGAGTACTGAAGCCGACTTCTGCTGATGAAACTACAAACGAAAGTAGTTTAAGTAAATTGTTCCTCGACTGATTACATCTCGGACACCTGGTCTTCATTCATCATAACTGGTCTACAGGTCTCATCTGTACTTCCCTGCACAGGTTTGGAATGACATGAGGATTAGTAAATAGTGGCAGAGTTTTCATTTTTGGGTGAACTGCCCCTTTATTTTACTCAAGAGTTTTTTTGCACCAAAACCAGCTGGAATTTAGTTTAACAAGTATTTTCTACCTTCCACCTCGCCCTGCAATTTAAACAAGAATCTGGACTTTTATGTAAATGCATTCTGTTATTATTACTATATTAATTACTACAATTACCATTTTACAAAAGGGACACAAAAAACGTAAGGAAGGTTACACATGACTACACGTGGCAAGGACAACAATCCGTGACCATTGTTTGCTATTCTGAAAACTTTGCTTTCATTTTTAAATCTTGTGCAATATATTTTTACTTGTGTTTTAAAATTTTGTTTTCATGCTTGTTATTTTTTTTATCCGCGATTCTGATCCCATAAACTGCTCCCCGGTCGCCGCATAAATGGCTGCCCACTGCTCCGGGTGTGTGTCCGGCCAGTCCAATCAGTTAGAAAAGATAAAGCAACAAACTACAGGTCCGGTCCAAGAATAATAAAATGTTTAAATAGAATAATAGTTTTCTCAAGCCAACATAACTAGCTAATAACGTCACTAATGTTAGTGCGGTGGATCAATGAATGCAGGAGACGGGGAGAGATAACTTAGATACTGTGTATGTGTGTGTGTGTGTGTGTGTGCACAGCAGTAAACTGAATACAGTGTTAAATATCTCCTTGTTTCAGATGATGAGAGAGATGAGAACTACTGGCCAGCCTTGTGGACTGAAAGTCAGGCTAGGGAATTAAAAACAGGCACTCTTAAATGTGTATTGAAAATTCCCAGCTGATAAAACCTGTGCTCCAGGGACCATATTCATATAACATCTAAGGATAAATGTAGCTCTTCACTGGCTGAGTGAGTTAGATGATTAACACTAAACAGCAGAAAATCAGTCTCCCCAGCTGTAAATGTCATTAGCTGTTAAAGTCTTGTGTTGCTTATAATAAATGTTGATAAAACATAAGCATAAGCAGAGGCTGGGAGGGAAAATCCCAGTATACTCACTACAAAAAACTAGACTACACCACTACACTACAGTCTCTAAGCATGCGCATCACTGCTAAAAAAAAATTAGCATTGAGATTAACAAGAATACAAAATAAGAAACTCACAAAAATGGCAGAACAGTGCAGCTATAGACTTGTTTGCGACACATAACTTCCCCACTTTCAGCAGAACACAGATTTCATTCCCCCACAGAACTGGAACAACAACTTTCACTTCTACTTCTATTTTAATCCAGCATTTCTGCTAAATGAACTGATTTTAGATGACCTTTCAGATTTATTTAATTATAAAAATCTTTATAATCCAAGGGCGTATAGAATTTAGTAGGAAGCTAGGACATGTCCCTACCAAAATCCAGTGATTACTATATTGTCCCTAGCAATAATTTTGATCAAACAATTAAATATAAGTAACCACTGTTGTTGTAATTTCATCCGCATCTGAAATAAGACAAACCGTTGATATTACCTGAGAAGTTAAAGTTAATATTAGGGATTCACCGAATGTTCAGCAAACGACATTATTCTGCCGAAAATAACAAAAAAGCTCATGACATTTTTGGTGACACGATCAAACAGCACTCAGTGTAAAGTGAGAAGTGTGCACTCTTTATAATGCAGGAAACATGCGGGCAGTGTGGAAGCATTTAAAACTGTCTGAGAAAGATGCAAAACCATTACAAGCACCGACAGCAAGAGACTGTTTAGCACTGCATCTCATGTCTTCGATGAGAAGAGGAGGGGTGGGTGTTGCTGGTTTCTATATGACTGAAATAGCGAAACTGCCTTAATGGGTCATGAAACCCGGTTTCAGCTCTGGTTAGTTCTCACCACAGTTTAAGAAATGCAAAAAAAAAGTGTGTGTGGTGTGAAGTGGAGCGGGGGAAGAGGAGAGACAGAACACACACAGCTTCAGGTTCAGACAGTTTCATTTCACTCCCATCGACTTAAAAACACAAATAAATGCACAGCCATTTGCACTCTGCATCGAAAACATAAATATTAACGTGCTGTTGCACCTCTGAGAACTTTTAAGGCTTATTCTGCTTCGTTTATATAAACCTTTTGACGGGTTATTGTGTCACGGAGCTGTAAAAACGGTTATAATCACCACGTGAATGAATCTCGTTTGTGCCGAACTCTTATTACAAAGCAAAAACAAACCCTCTTCTTCCATCCATGAACATTTCTCTCAGTTAATGTGCGCGGTGTCATCTCACAGTCTGAAGCGTCTGTCATAGCTCATCAACACATGCTGCTGTGAATAATTAAGCAATAGGATAAAAACACACAGTCTCATGAATAATTTAATAGACACCGACGCGTCATCGATGTACTATCGTCCTTTGCCACGTCACAAATTGTGACGTCAACACGATGTAGATTGTAAACCCGGAAGATGAAAATAGCACAAAAAATCTTAATTAACCAGTTTTCTCCAACAGTTAAGATAATCGGATGCTAACATTCACTGTAAAAAAAATTCTGTAGTTTTTACAAAAACATTTTGGCAGCTGTGGTTGCCAGAATAATTGTGTAAAAAATACAGAAAAACTGTAAACACATTTACGACCAAATAATGTACATTTTACAGTATAAAACTGTAATTTACAAACAAGAAAATTAGAATGTAAACCAGTAAATTCAACAATGCACACTGCTATTAAAATCTGTTTTGTACCTTTAACATACTGACGACCACCATAATAATGCAGCTGGTAAAAGAGAAAGCCACATGAAGAATCAAAGCTCATCACAAGCAGCTTCGCCACAAGCGGAAGTATATACTGATATATAGAAGGTGCACGAGTTATTCATGCAAACACAAAACACCATCATAGTAACACACATGATACTTAAATAATGCATTCAGCTTTCATTAAACAACAGAAGATGTAACAAAGCCCAAATATACATAACTAATAACAAAAACTTTTTAAAAAACATGATTATTTAAACAAAATACTTTCAAATGTGGAGTGTCATGCAGGGAATTCTGGGAATATCAGTCTACAGTTTTTGACTGTAAATTATACATTGATCTGTTATTTTTTACTTCTAAAAACCGTAAAATTAACAGCATTTTACTGTAAAATTACATGAAATGTCTGGTTAGATATTTTACAGTTTTTCCTGTATATAGTACAGGAACTTACTGTTAACCTATTAACAGTTTTTTTCTGTAGCGTTTTTACAAAAATGTACAGTTAAAATTACACTTATTTTTTACAGTGTTGTCTTCTATGATGTGCAACACAAACACTCTGCTAAAATCTCAAAAACAGTAGAACTACCCAAATTCGTAATGAGAATAATTTAGAAATCTGCTGTTGTCAACAAAAAGAAGCACTGAGGTCTTCCTTTCTGCAGGTTTCTGCCAAAATAAAAGCTGAGAAAAAGCAAGAACTCCTTCAACATTCTTAAATACCAGTATTGTAATTTTACTGTTGTTCTGTAAAATAAAATAAAAAAGTAAGACAACAATAATGATAATAATAATTACAACAGCTCTATTAATACATGATAACATTCACACATAGTGTTGGGATCTGTAATATTTTCTAACGTTTTAAAAGAAGTCTCTTCTGCTCAGGAAGGCTGCATTTATTTGTACAGTAAAAAAAATACAAAAACAGTAATCTTGTGCAATATTTTTACTATTTAAAATTTTCAGCAGCATTACTCCAGTCTTCAGTGTCACATGATCTTCTGAAATCAGTATAATATGCTGATCTGATGCTCAAAGTGTCCAGTTTTCCTTCTTTTTTGTCTTTAGCCGATCACATGCCTGATTCAAGAAGGGGGTCTCAAAAATGGCCAAATAATATTTTTATTTTACAAATTAATTTTAAGTTAAATTGTGCTTTGTTGGTATAATGTATGCTAGAATGTTAAAAAATGTTCAGTGTAAAATAAATATTTTTAAATTTTTTGATTGATTTTTTTATTTTTTTTTAAAGCAAGAGAAAACAGTAAAAAGCACATTTTGGCTATTTAAGTTATTCAATGGTGAAAACAATTGTCAAAATACATGGAGGGAATATGTGAAAACCCGTGTTTGGTATTCGGTCTTCAGCCCAGAGTTTCATTTTGTTCGGTTTCGGCTTCAGCCAAGATTTTTCATATTTTGGTGCATATCTAGTAAATACGTTAGAAACCCAAGTGTTTCAAGGACAAAAGTCAGACAGAACACAAAAGTGGCATTTAGGCATATTTACAGACTGTTTAAAGAGGCTCAGAGGTGGCATGAATGCATTTAAATCCATAATAATAATGTTATGAGATTAATGTTTTAAATATAAAGTTCTGAATATAGAAATATTAAATTTAAATAACTGAAATGATACTTTAAAAACTAAAGGGGCGGCAAGTCACTGTCTTTGTTTCTGAATCATTCATTCAATCGATTCATTCAAACAGCTGATTCATTAAGGAACGAAGCAAGCGACTGTTTTTATGAAAGAGTTACTGAATCATTGACTCACTAGATTCCCTCAACAATGCACACAGTGTTGCCAGATTGGGCTTCTTTTAGTAATCTCAGACCGGAAAAAAAATGCATTGGGCGGGTTGATAAAATTTGGGCTGCTCTTTGATACAACTGGCAGGTGTTTAGTTTTAACTACAAACATGTGATTTTATTCATTTTTCAATTGAATCAAAATGTACAATAAAATATTACATGTATAATATGTTTCAATGGCTGGTGGAGAGTGTGCGTGTGTCTGTATCTAAAAAGCGCCTTTTGGAGTAACCCAGATGTTTGGGGATTTTTTGTTATAAGCTCGTATTCGTGTTGTCGCATTTGATATATATATATATA